TGCTATAAAGATGTATCAGGACTTGAAGAAATTATTTTGGTGGCCTGGTATGAAGAATGAAGTTGCTGAATTTGTTTATACTTGTTTGACTTGTCAGAAATTGAAGATTGAACATCAGAAGCCTATGAGTCTGATGCAACCGTTGAGTATTCCAGAGTGGAACTGAGACATAATTTCCATAGATTTTATGTCAAGTTTGTCGAGGACTGCTAAGGGAAATGATTCTATTTGGAGGATAGTAGATAAATTGACTAAATTGGCTCATTTCTTACCGATGAAAATCAATCATCCCATGCAGAAGTTAGCTGAGATGTATATCGAGGAGATTGTAAGTTTACATGGCATACCTTCGAGTATTATGTCGGATAGAGATTAGAGGTTTACATCAAAGTTATCGGAAGGTTTATATAAGGCTTTTGGTACTAAGTTGAAGTTGAGTTTTGCTTACCATCCACAGACGGACGGTCAGATGAAGAGGATTATCCAATCGATTGAAGATTTGTTGAAGGCTTGTGTGTTAGAACAAGAAGGAGCTTGGGATATCCATTTTCGTTGATTGAGTTTACTTATTATAATATTTTCCATACTAGTATTGGAATGGCACCAATAACGTGTTGTATGGTAGGAGGTGTAAGACTCTGTTGTGTTGGTATGATTCAGGTGATAGTGTTGTGTTCAGACCTGAGATTTTGTAGGAGACAACTGAGAAGATAAAGATGATACAAGAGAGGGTGAGATATTCGTAGAGTCGTCAGAATATTTATCATGATAAGAGGAGAAAGACACCTGAGTTCCAGAAGGGAGATCATGTTTTCTTGAGAGTTACTCCAGTAATTGGTGTTGGTAGAGCTCTAAAGTCGCGAAAGCTTATGCCACATTTTATTGGTCTATATCAGATTTCAGAGAAGATGGGTGAGGTGGCCTATCAGATTACTTTATCGTCATTGCTTTCGAATCTTCTTGAGGTATTTCATGTATCTCAATTAAGAAAATACATCATGGATCATTCGCATGTGATCCAAATGGATGATGTACAAGTGAGAGATAACCTGACAATTGTAGCATCACCCGTGCAGATAGAAGGTTGGGAAGTGAAACAGTTGCAGGATAAAGAGATTTCCTAGGTGAAGGTACTATGGGGTGGACCAACTGGTGGAAGTTTGACTTGGGAGCATGAGGATCAGATAAGAGAGTCATACTGACTTCGTTTTCCTCAGGTAATTTTCGGGGATGAAAATTCTTTAAGTAGGGGAGAGTTGTAACACCCCAAAATTTAGAATTATTTATTTAATTGATTATTTGTGATTATCTGTTTGATGTATGATGATGTGTTGTGGGGTAGTGGTGGATTAAGGTGTTAATTAGAATTATTTAGATTTAAATAATTTTAGTTTATATTATTCAGAGTTATAATAATAATTAAATAGAATAATTAGTTGTATAGAAATGTTAAAGACATGATGGTAATATATGATGATGAGTGAGGGCATAAGGGGAATAACATAAAAATGGTCTAAGAGGTAACACAATAAAAAGAGAAATTAAGAAGATAGGTTCATTCTGTACGATGTAGAATTTAGGAGTACGTGAAGAGAGGCTAGGGCTTACAGAGAATCAAGAGGAGAACTCTGTAGAACGCGAAAGAATATAATCAAATCGCTATAAATTCGAGGTAAGGGGTATAATCGAGTTTAATATGATTGATAGGGGGTTAAGGTAGATGTAGGATTTGGTTTGTATGATGATTTGGTGAAAAACATGATGAATTATAAGTTGAAATTATGTGATGATAATGTTTGTATCCTATGATTCATGTCGATAACGATATAATAATGTGTTTTTATGTTAATATGTGATGTATGGTGATGTATGTTAATTAATATGTGATGCCTAGAATTGGAATTGGTATGGTATGGACAGAAGATAAATCTCAACTGAGAAGTTGTTGACTCGTTAGCGTCGTCGGGTGATCCAGAGGAGAGTATGGGGCGAGCGAGTCGCTCCAGCATCGTCGAGCGAGCTAGCTGGCAAGCAGAATGGTGGAAAAGGAAGGCTCTTGGAAAATTTATAGGAGAGGATCGTCCCCAAAGCTTCGTCGGGCGAGCGAAGCAGCGATAAACCCAATTGCACAGCTCGCTGGGCGAGCGTTAGGTGAGAGGGAGGCGAGCAGAGCGCTCCCAGGGTCCTCGGGAGAGGCTTAGGCGAGCAGTCTGATAGTAAAACTTCAAAGTATTATAACTTGAGTCTCAAGACTCTGTTTGACATGTCATTCGAAGCATTAGGGAGTTAACGCGCATAATCATCTTATGGCAAAATTGTATGAAGCATTTGGTGTATTATTCATGTGTTTATATGTTTATGAGTTTGGATTATTATATGTTGGTATACTATGGTGTCTTGTTGAAATGACGTAACTTCATATATTCTAATATGGTATTTGATGATAATTATTATGATGTTTTAATGATGTACATGTTTAATATGTATACATGCTATGTCAAGATGATTATGTGAATGATGATATAATTGACTAGCACTGGTCGTACTTTATGTGACATTGTTGTGCATCATGCATTCATAGCATTTTAGGACGGTGGTCCGCTGGTGACGAGCCTCAATCCTGTTGTGCGGATTGAGTGCGTTTGTGATGTGCTCCAGTTCTAAAAATAATCGATCATATGATGGGGATAATAGAGGGTGATGAACAAAGTGTTCATAAATTTTGGTACCACATACATTGAGTTAGTATTGTTGCATTAACATCCTATGTGACATTACATGGATTTTGGTGATGAGTTGTGATGTGATGATGATTGTGAACTATGTGAGTATGTGATGATTTCGATGATGAAAGACGTCTAAGTGTTATTAAGATGTATCAATGAGTATGAGTTGTGTATGAATGATATGTGTTGTTATATGATTATGTTGTTTATAACTATTAATCTTTTCCTTATATTTTTTATAATGAGCCCTGATTACTCACCCTTTCTGTTTGAATGTTGTCTCCACGTGGATAATGCACAGATGCTCATGAGTAACTTATAGGAGCATCGAAGATAGCTTTGGAGTATTTTATTAGCTTTCGTTTATTAGAGGTGTTTTGCTCTGATATGTAACATCGGATTGGGAACGCTTTATTTTGCGAGTGTTATGTTCTATTTGGTGTTGACGTACTTTTTGACGATTTGATTGTTAAACAAATTTAATTCTAAATATTGATGAGACTAAAATACTATGAGTTTTATTTTATAAAGAAGTTTATTTATGACGATGAATCTGCTGCGATGTTTTTAAATGATGTGTTGAACTATAATGAGATGCATGTTTTAAATTGTTGTAACTCGTGTTACGGAGCAGGATTGTTAGTAGTGTGACACCCTTGAGTGGTGATTTTATTTGATTTATTTCGTAAAATTATGTGAGAAATATATGTGGGGTTAGAAGAGTGTTACAATGTGCATTACCTCAGTGCGTTATAATGTCCTAGTAAAGTCGAAAAGAGTTGGACCTATTGAACCAGAGAGAGGATTGAGAAAAGGGTGGGAGAAACTTACTTGTACTAAGAATGATGGAGGATTGAGATTCCGTGATTTTAACATGTCGATGGTGGCTAAATAGGGGTGCTTCCTTATGTCTAAACCTCATACTCTAGTTTCATATATCTTTAAAACAAGGTACTTCCCTAGAACCTCTTTCTTTGATGTTAATCTTGGTTATAACCCAAATTTTGTGTGGAGGAGTATTTGAAAAGCTAGAGAAGTTCTAACTCTAGGTTGCAGGTGGTTGTTATAAAGTGTGTTCTAGATATAAGGTGTGGAGGAATGCGCAGAAGAGAGGTTCAAATTCAAATATGATCGGTGGAATATTAAAGCTCCTTCTATGTCCCCTGCTCGGGAGTGTCCTTTTTCCTCAATATACCACTTTTTTTTTCACTTTTTTTTTCCAGATATCCAAATATTCTGGCACAATGGCTGTGTTTCTTGTGTAGAAACGCTGAAGTGGCATCCGATATTTATGCTCTTATAGGACAAATTAACATTGTCATCTAATTGCCACATAATCTACTTGCCACATCAACCCTATCATGCTGTGATAGCAACTGATGAATGAATGCCACATGAAAGAAACGATAAGTACGAGAAGAAAAATACTAGGATAAAAAGTAAAAATTCCTATATCAATAAGTTGTGGAAATCACCAATAATCTAATTCACAAAAACAACTTAATAAATAGGTTATGCCCCAGATTTGCGGGCAACACTAAACATTTGAAACTATTTTCTTCTCCTCGTCGTGATCTAAGCATCCAATGCAGTGCATACATCGACAAAGCATCCTACTTCACCATCCTCCTCCTCTTCACCTACTCGTGAGTTTTCCTTCACATTCTTTCTTCACTCTTGCTCCACAACATTCAATTTCACCTCCAATCTCACTTCCCTTCATCACCTGATTAACAGAGAGTTGTTAGAAGATGAGAAGCCTGGAGAAAAACGCTGGAAGTTGTAACAGAGAACACATCAACAACAACATTAGAGGAACAGAGGAAGAAAAAAAGTCCAGGACCAAAGCTATTTTCTCATGGTTTAGACTTATGAAAGTGTGTCGAGTTATAGAGTGAATATTGAGTTAAATCTCTTCTCATAAAATATTTATAAATCAAAGCACAAAACTTAATTAAAAAAACACTCAAAAAACAACAAGTTTTAATCAAGAGGTCTTAATTGATTGAAACATTACATTCCAAAATTCAAACTTAAGCATTAAATATTAAAATTCAAACTATCATAGAAATCAAATATCATCATTAAAGCAAAAAAAATCATCATCAAACAAGTCTTCTTCAACATATTCCTCTTCATCTCCACCCTATTATCTTATTCCAATTCTTCATTTTCTTCCATGTGATTATTAAAATTAAAATAGAGATGACATAGTGTGACTAAATTAAAGCTGAGAAGACAATATGTGATTAAAATTAAGACTTATACTATAGATTAATACAGAGGAAGAAAAAAAAGAGGAACAACGGAATTAAAATTAAAACACAGATGAAACAGTAGAACAGAGGGATAAAAAACCATAAAAGGCCAAAACAGAAAAAACAAAATAAGAGGAAGAAAGCAGAAAAAGAAAGAAACAGAAGAAAAAACAGAGAAGAACAAAATAACCAACATTAAAATAATGAAACGATGGAGCAGAGGAAGAACGAAGTGCAGAGATAGAGATAGATGAGGGAGGAACGCACAACTGCACTGCAAAAACGACAATGAAGGAAGATTACGCTTGAGTCTCATCTCAGCTCAAATATGATTGAAAAGCTCAAAATTACTCTTAAAACATTTAAATTTAAGAGGTAATTTCGGTTTTTCCAGAAGGGAAAAGGATAGCAGACCAGAAACCGCTCTAGAGAGATTCCTGCTATCCCGCTATTACCCTATAGTGGCCGCTATAGTGTTCTGTGCTAAGGATCTTCCCAAAATGCTCGGCCCCCGCTTTGCTCCGCTATCCATCTGTAGCGCCACTATTGACTACAGCCTAACTAAATTGATTAATCTTTTCCAGAAAGATAGTTGATGATAAACCACGTTCGTTGTATTACTGTTTATCATCAAATTAAATTGATTAATCCAGCCTAACTAATACAACGAAAGCTGAATCAAAGATCATTTGACAAACTGGAAAACACTACTGTTGGTGTCATACAAAGGTGACAAAAAAAAAGTATATAGATTTGTGTATAATATAGAAAGAAAGTGAGAAATGTGAAATAAAACGAACAAGCATAGATTACTATGAAATGAATTCTTATATTAATGTATGAAAAGAACATGGCTTGCAGAAAAAATAATACCTAGTCAGTTTTTTTCATCATTTTAAACGGTTATATGGTGAAGTGTGCTCACTTGAGTCTGAGACACAGCAAACAAAATCAGAATGACTAAATACTTCTTTGAAAGACCAGAGAAATGGAATATGAAAGAGAGGGGAGACAGATGAATGATGTGATGAATAAGAAAGAGGTGTAAAAATGACTGTAAGATGAAGAAAATGTGAAAAGAATCAATATGTATCAGAATTCAGAAATATTACACCTCCAACCCTGGACATATAACATCAACAACAGCAATCAAAAGAATAGTGTTTTGGCAAATTTAACAAGTTCGATGGTGTAGAGTTTCAAAGCATCCACAAACACAACGGTAGCAGATAAACTAGTTTCTAATGATCCATGTGATTCAATAAATTATATGACTACCATTCTATAGCAATTTCACATACCACTTTCTAAACATCCAAATGCTAAGTTAATTAAGACAATAAGTTCTTCTATTTCTATTTCCTGACTTAAAAAGTACATAACAAAGCCAACGAAAACAAAAAATGCAAGTAAAATAACAAGCTAACTAGCATAGATGAATATCAAGCATCAGTACCACCTTTTGCAGCAAAAGGAGCATTAGTTGGACCAACCTGGCCAATATGGCGCTGCACTAGCAGATGCAAAATCAATCCACATGCTTTACATGTTGTGATATCTGATAAATCTACAATCCTATAGGAATTTAACATTAACAGATGGACACGGTATTAACTAAACCAAACTGTATATACTAGTTAGTCACTAATTGAAAGACATACACCACTGTCTAAATATCCAGATGTTAAGATAACAAAGCAAAAAAATTCCCGTCTCTTTATTTTCTTGGTCTAAACAGGTTGTCAAAATAACATAGCCAGCCAAAGAAAAACAACTACAAATAAAGCAAAAGAAAACAAGCTGACATACATGAATAACATTATCAGGCATCAGCAGCATCTTTTGCACCAAAGGGATCATGAGTTGGACCAACATCCTGACCAATGTGACGCTGCACTAGCCGCTGCAAATCAGCCATAACCTTATGTTCTCTTTTAGCCTTTTCTTCATAATTAAACATAGCCAAAGCACGCTTATCTTCAGCACTATAAACTTGATTTTCTTTCCTGATACGAATAGCATTCATCCTCTGATGCCTACTGCCACTCATCACATAACCAAGTTCCTCAAACTTTGAAATCTCTTCTGCAGAAAGACCCACTTCTCCTCTACGAGGAATACGCTTCCCTTGTTGAACGTATTGTGCAATAGCATCTCCTTCACCAGGCCTAAGTGCACCACCATAGCTTATATGCCCCTCAGCTCTAGGCAGAGGCATTGGCCCAACTGTTGGCTCGCTATCCAAAGCAGGTTTCTTCTGTAACTCTAACAATTCCTTCAATTCTAGAGCCTCGGCACTAATGTCAGGTACATCCACCTCATCAACAACAATTGCTTCCTTATTCTTCGCAACGGCTGAATCAGAAACCAACTCAATATCCTCCGAACTCTCACTTTTCAGTTCAGCACTCTTCTTTGTTCCTTTCCTGCTCCGTTTTGATCGAGACCTAGAAGAAGAATGCATCCTCTTTCTTTCACTACCATCAGAGTCAGAGTCATCACTTTCACTCTCTTCTGAATCACTATGCCTTCTCTTCTTCCTATTACTTCTCCTTCTACTGATCTTCCTCTTACTTCTCCTTCTCCTCCTACGATCTTCCTCTTCTGATTCACTATCATTCCTATTCTTTCTCCGCTTTGGATCTTCCTCTTCTTCTGATTCCGATTCAGATTCACTATGGTTTCGTGATTTCTTAGAAAAACTTTTACTTCTCCTCTTCCTCAATCGTGGATTATCCGATTCACAGCCATCAGATTCATCCGATTCAGATTTAACTTCCGGTTTAACCTCCTTATCGATCTTTCCATCAAATTTCTCAGAAATCTCTTCAACTTTGTAAACATCCTCATCCTCAAGATCCTCATTCTCGCGTCTAGGAGGACTCGGCGTAACGTTCCAGATACAGTACTTCATCAACTTCCTCATCTTCTGCCTCTTCAACCTTCTGTACTCTTCGAAACTCAACCCCTTCAACTCATCATCAGATTCAGACTCGGATCGCTTAAAATCGCTGCGGTCGCGGTCGAGATAGGAGCCGTTGCGGTGGCCAAATTTCTTTGGAAGATCGTTGCCGTTTGGATTTCTATTATAGTGTCTAGGGTTTCGGTTTTCGGGTGATATGCTACGGCGGCGGTTTGTCTGACGATCGTATGAATCGTAGCTAGGGCTACGACGATAACGACGGCGGTCTTCGGAGACATCGGAGTCGGGAGTACGGCGATCTTCGTGTCTGCGGTGGTGGTGAACGATTTCGATGGTAGAGGATAGCCTTCCCATTGGGTAAAACGTGAAGAAGGAGAGGGTGATAAAGTGGGATTATTATTAGGTTGTAATATAGAATATCTAATCTAATATAAATATATAAATTTTAAAATACTTAAAAATACCAAATTTAACTAAATTGATTAAAACTTAATTTTTATTAATTTCACGAATAATATTGTCTTATTTCATTAATACTTAATTTATATTTATTTAGTATTTAATGTTGATGATGTATCGTATTAAGAATTTTTTTTAATTTGTTTTGATTTATTTTATTAATGACTATGAATTATATTAAATAATTAATTTTATGTGATTAATTATAATCAAATTTTTATGATACTTCCTCCGTTTTTTTTAAGTGTCGCTTAGCATAAAGCTCTTCAATCAAGATAGTGCATTATTAGAGTTATTTTTCTTATTATATCCTCTTTTTTTTTTCTTTTCAAATAAATTCAATCATGCATCATCTCTCTTTTTCCAATAACTAATTGAGAAAATAATTAATTTTATAGAAAATGTGAAGTGGAGTTATTGAGAAAGTAGGGATATAATTGACAAATGATAACATTAAACTATAAAAAGAACACTTAAATAGAAACAAAAAAATCTTCTAAAACGACACTTAAAAAGGAACGGAGGGAGTATATAATAATGTTTAACTATTAAACCGTTGACGGTTTTCATAAAACTGCACACAACTTTGTGTTGACGCAGCTTCTCATCTTCATCATTTACTGTTTCTTGTGTCTTCTTCTCTAATATATGTTAAAACTATGAATAAGTTGCACGTTTTGGTTGTCATTGTGAATCATTTTGTTGTTAGATAGTTGTTGTATGAGAAGAAACGTTATAGTCATTTTTTGTTTTAAGCTCTGTTAAACGTTAATGGCGGATTCTACGGTTTTATTTTTGTGTTTGTTTGCTCATGGGTGGAAGATAACAAATATTTTGTTCAAACTCTACCTCTGAGTTTCATTATTAATATGGTGTTTGTTCTGTTTTTCAAGTTTGTTTAACGTCATAAAATACTTCTTCTGTTTGAAATTGCCACTGGGTTTGCACTTGTCTTTGTGTCTTATAAATAACAATGGTTGTCAGGTTGGATTTGAAGTTTATGAGGTTAGAAGATGATGAAAATAGGTTTATGAGTTGAAGTTTGATTATGGCTTGGATATATTAGAAGTTATTGTTAGCAATAACACTTGACAAAGTGTTGGTTTGTATAATTTTATGTTGTATTTGGTTTTTAAGATAATTTTGTGTTGTATTTGGTTTGTAGAAGTTTGTCAAATTTGGTTTATATGAGTAACAATATGTTTTTGTTGTTCTGTTCACTCAATTTTCTTCCTTCCTCTAATGTTATACGTGAGTGTGAGAATTGTTCAAATTTGTGAATAGACTCAAAATAAGATTTTGTGTGTTATGAAAAAAAGTAACTTCTTTTACTGAGAAAAACTGTCAACTATTTATAACAAATATTAGGTTAAAATAAATAAAAAATTAAATATTTGATTAACATAATCAAAAATTAAAATTAAATTAATTTTTATTTCAATTCTTAATATATTTAAATCAATTGTATTGATTTTTCCCTAAAATAAAATATATCTTAAAAGTGCAATTTTAAAAAATTGAACAAAATCTTTTTTTCCTTTTTTATTTTTATAATTATTTTTTTATGTTTTTAATAAAAGGAAGAAAAAAATGAAGAACTAATATTTTTTTTTTAAAATGTCTAAATAAAAAATCGAAAAATTGATTAAAAATAAGAGAAAAATACAATTCTAATAAACTTCAAAGTACTTGAAAATAGCAGATTTTACCAAACTGATTAAAACCTAATTTTTACTAACTCCATGGTTAATATTGTCTTATTTCACTAATGCTTAATTTATATTCATTTAACATTTAATGTTGATCATGTGTTGTGCCAATAATTTTTCATACATTTATTAATTTGTTTTGATTTATTTTATTAATGAATATGAGTTTCACGACTGATCAATTTTGTGGGATCAATTTAAATCAAATTTTTATAATACATAGTCACGTTTAACTATTGAACTGTTGAGTTCTCACTCTACACAATTTCCATAAAACTGCTCACAACTTTCCAAGATTGCTTATCATTTACTGATCCTTTCATATTCTATTTTGTTTCCCTCTATAAAACTCTAAAATATGGTATGTGTTGACATAACTTCTCATCTTCATCATTTACAGCTTCTTCCATCTTCTTCCCAATGTATGTCAAAACTATGAATAACTTTGGTTGTCATTGTGAATAATTTTGTTGTTAGATAGTTGTTGTATAAGAAGAAACATTGTAGTCATTTTTTGTTTTAAGCTCTGCTAAACGTTAATGGCAGATGCTGCGATTTTATTTTTGCGTTTGATTGCTCATAGTGGAAGATGACAAATGTTTCGTTATTAATATGATGTTTTTTCTTGCGCTGTTTTTTAAGTTTGTTTAACATCATAAAATGCTTCTCCTGTTCGAAATTGTCGTTGGGTTTGTACTTCTCAAAGTAATGGATGAAGGAAAGCTTGTAAAAGTTAAAGCACGTCAATGTTAATGAGGAACGTAAACCAGAGCCAATATTTTCAATGTTAGTGATTTGTCTTATATTTAGTAATTTATAGAACACAAACACCTTTGGCTGTGTGTAATTTTGTTTTTTCAAGTTTCTAATGTTGTGTTGATCTTTATTTTTTCATTTGCATTGATGTGCTTGGGATTTTTTGGTAATACAAATATAATATATTTTTAAGTAAAACATGCAACCAAGATCGACTGGAGTATTGGATTGTTCTCTTTTTGTCTCTTATTTAAGTAAAATTGAGTATTTATAACAATGGTTTTACAGTTACGCCTTTCTTTGAATTTGAATTTTTATTGATGTATTGTGAGTTATGGATATGAAAATTGAAATCGTTAAAAGATAATAGGCATATGAATTGAAGTTTGATAATGGTTTGGATAAGTTAGGGGTAAAAGCAATAACACTTAACACTTGAGAAAGGGTTGGTTTGAATAATTTTGTGTTGTATTTGGTTTGTAGAAGTTTTTCAAATTTGGTTAATGTGAGAATAAAGAAAACATGATTAAAAAGAAGTTGGAATGAATTTTTGGCATTGTACTTTAGTTCAAGTGTGAGAATCATTGAAATGTTATGAAAAAAAAAACCTCTTTATTGAGAAAAACTGTTAACTATTTATAACAAAAATTAGGTTAAAATATAAAAAAAGCAATAATTAAATAATTGATTAACATAATCAAAAATTAAAATTAAATTAATTTTGATTTCAATTCTTAATATATTTAAATCAATTGTATTGATTTTTTCTCTAAAATAAAATATATCTTAAAAGTTCAACTTTAAAAAATTGAACAAAATCTTTTTTTTCTTTTTTTTTTTATAATTATTTTGCTATATTATTAATAAAAGGTGGGGAAAAAATGAAAAACTAATATTTTAAAAAAAAGTCTAAATAAAAAATCGAAAATTGATTAAAAATCAGAGAAATATACAATTCTAATATAATATAAATATATAAACTTCAAAGTACCTGGTAATAATTGTTCTGAATTTTTCATATATTTTTAATTTTTTTGATTTATTTTATTAATGACTATGAGTTACACCAATGATCAATTTTGTTGGACCGATTTTAGTCCAATTTTTATAATACGTAATCAATTTTATATAATACGTAATCAATTTTTAAAAGATAATAGGCATATGAATTGAGAAAGTGTTGGTTTGGATAATTTTATATTGTATTTGATTTGTAGAAGTTTGTCAAATTTGATTAATATGAGAATAAAAAAAACGTGATTGAAAAGAAGTGGAAATGGATTTTTGTACTTTGGTTCAAGATAAAAAAATTATGTACAATATGTTTTTGCTTGTTCTGTGCACTCTATTTTCTTCCTCTAATGTTTTTGTTTTTGCTCCTCAATACAGTAGAATTTTACTCCACTCTATTTTCTTCCTCTAATGATTTTGTTTTTGCTCCTCAATACAGTAGAGTTTTACACCAGTTTTAATTTTTGTGAGTATGTGTGAATATTTGTGAATGTTATACGTGAGTGTGAGAATAGTTGAAATTTGTGATTAATTCAAAATAAGATTTTGTGTGTTACGAAAAAAGTGGTCTCTTTTATTGACAAAAACTGTAAACTATTTATAACAAAAATTAGATTAAAATAAAAAAAAAAGCAATAATTAAATAATTGATTAACATAATCAAAAATTAAAATTAAATTGATTTTGATTTCAATTCTTAATATATTTAAATCAATTGTATTGATTTTTTCCCTTAAATAAAATATATCTTAAAAGTGCAACTTTAAAAAATTGAACATTTTTTTTTCTTTTTTATTTTTATAATTATTTTGCTATGTTATTAATAAAAGATGGAAAAAAATGAAAAACTAATATTTTTTTAAAAAATGTCTAAATAAAAAATCGAAAATTGATTAAAAATAAGAAAAATATACAATTTTAATATAATATAAATATATAAACTTCAAAGTATCTGGAAATACATTGTTTAACCAAACTGATTAAAACATAATTTTTACTAATTCCATGGGTAATATTGTCTTATTCTACTAATGCTTAATTTATATTCATTTAGCATTTAATGCTGCCAAGAATTTAAACCGTTGACTTCTCACTCTACACTGTTTCCATCCTTTCATATTCTCTTTTGTTTCCCTCTATAAAATCCTAAAATATGGTATGTGTTTACACAACTTTTCATCTTCATCATTTACTGCTTCTTCCATCTTCTTCCCCAATATATGTTAAAACTATGAATAATTTGCACGCTTTGGTTGTCATTGTGAATCGTTTTGTTGTTAGATAGTTCTTGTATGAGATGAAATATTGTAGTCATTTTTTTGTTTTAAGTTATGCTAAATGTTAATGGTCGATGCTGCGATTTTATTTTTGCATTTGTTTGCTCATTGGTAGAAGATAACAAATATTTTGTTTAAACTC